AATTTCCAGCAACCACATGGTGGCTCACAACCATCTGTAATGAGGTCTGGTGCCCTCTTCTGGCCTGCAGGCATACACACAGAATATTGTATACATAATAAATAAATAAAAATTTAAAAAAATGTATAGGCACAACAGGGACAACTTGATCCTCATAATTAAATGTTTAAAAAAACATTGTTTAAAAAATACTCATTTTCTGCTAAGCAAACTTCCCATCATCTTTAGTTTAATGGTTTCCATTGCTAATAGAGCAGTGAACAAAGAAAGTTTCTGTTGATGTAAGTGCCTAGCACACAGGTGCAGATTTATGCTCAAAGCATGGATATAAGCATATTTCAAAGAATGCTTGGTAGGTGGAAGAATCAATGAGTGACGTAGAAGATGTGGTAGAGAGAAAATAAAGCTCAAGGGAGAGAAGGCACAGGATGTAACAGTGGCTGGTAAAGGCAACAGTGGACTGTGTTCGTTAATGATCGACGTCGTTTTGTTTATTTCCTGGTCCAGATGGACAGCTCGCAGTTGATCCACTGTCGGGAGCTAGCAGCACATCACCTTTCTGCTCTGCAGTCTTCCCTGCCTCTAAATTCCGTTTATGTCTACCGTCCCCTCAAGCACACCCTGGTGTCCTGCGACAGAGGAGCGTTGAAATTACATCCCTCCTCTGTCTCAGGCCCAGGTTTCTCCAAGGGCAACAGCAAGCCAGAAGTGCCAGTCAGAGGTACAACAGCCTTCTACCATCACCTCCCAGCTGCCAGTGGGTGCAAGCATACCTCTGCTAAACGCAAAGTGGAGGAAATGGAAGTGGATGACTTCTACGATGGCATCAAGCGGCTCTACAATGAAGATAATGCTTCAGAGAATGTGGGCTCTGTGTGCGGCACTGATTTATCAAGGCAAGAAGGGCATGCTTCTCCCTGTCCACCCTTGCAGCCTGTTTCAGTCATGTAGTTTCAGGTATTACCTTCCGGTGCACACTAGGGCTGACAATAAAAACCAGGAAAGGCTGTAGAGAAGGGCATGTGCTTTTTCAGACTGAGTGAAGTGAGCCAGGAGAAAAGAAAAACAAGTGGCCTTTTTGTTCCTTTGTGTGGCTACTTACAATTCAGCATTATTTAATATAAAGGCATATATTTATAGACTCAAGATCCAAAATATATTTAAAGGTAAAGTTCTTTGCACTATGTCAGTTCCACTTTTTTCTTTGTTAAAATAATAGTTTGCCCCATATCCAAAAAACTAAAATAAAAATCAAGGTTTAAGGGGGAAAGTTGCAAAATTCAATGCTAGAAACCTTGTTTCCAGTGTCCTGGGTTTTTCTCTTGTGTTTTCTTGCCTCTCTGTTGGATACTTAATAATCTTTGTGCTTGATGTATGTGTTCTGACTCCCACTGAATAGGTAGCCCCACCCTTTTTTTTTTTTAAAAGCAATTCAGTAAGCAAATTTTTGTGTGGCATCCATGTTAATCCATGGCTCAAGTTGGTTAGTTCAAAAAGGGCACTTTGAGCTATCCTCATGAATCAATGGTAACTGAAAACATTCTCTTACTTTGTGTGTCTCATTTTAGTTGAAAAACTAGATGACTTTTTTTTTTTTACCTTTTTGCTTATCTTAAAGCTTAAAAATGGTGTGTAATTAGGACATTTTGAGCATTTTTGACATTTGTATAAAGAATTTCTTATAAAGTTAATATATCTGGGTGCTCACCAAAGAAACATGTATGTAACACATACTTAGATTTTTGTAACTGATCTGTTCTCGTTCTTTTAAAATGAGTAGGAGCAACTGTCTAGCTGTGGGGCAGCCGTGATTGGAGTCTAACTTATAATTGAATTCAGTACCCTAGTTTATATTAAGCTGTCAGGATTTTCTTGATAAGAAGTTATTCCCCTTGTTTTTCTCTGAGTGACTTCTGCACCCTGAGCTCCCTTTGCAGTCTGAAGAAGGCACTGTAGTCTGAACCATGGACTGGTGATAAAGCCTCTGGTAGCAATAAAATGTTGTCCTTAACCCTGGTTTCTGTAGGATCTTTTCTTTATTTATGGGAAGGTATGGTTTCTGACTTCCTGGGCACTTCATTTTCAACCAAGGAAAGCAGTAAAAAAAAACTTGAGAGCAATCTTTGACCACAGGTTGTGCCCTCTAGTGTTTTCTTGCTGGTGGGCTGTGAACCTTACAGTTAACAGGTTAATGGGATGGTTGGTCTATGAGGGCAGATTCCAGCCTACATATAGATAATATTTTTAGGTCATTGATTTTAAGTTTAGCAGAGCAAGAGTGTCTCCAGGTTAACATCTTTTTAGAAACTTGTGGAAGACTTAACTGCACATTTATTATGACCTTAAAAATCCAATTGGGGAAGCATCATGTGTGTAAGGATGGGAGTTGGGAGAGGTGGGGAAAAGTGAAAAAATGATTTGTGTGCAAGGGATTAGTCTCAGATATTTTTAGAAAATTCTGATTTTTAGTTTTCTTGATTCTGAATTAATGGGAGCTCCAGGTTCATAATGTTTATGATATGGAGTGCCCCCCCCCCATACACACACTCAGATGGTATAAAACTTGAGTCTAAAAGTCTGCATAGCTAATCTGTAATCCAGAAGCTGCAAAGTGCAAAAGCTGGGAGACAGTAGGACTTTAGCTGTTTGGTCTTCAGGTTTCTTAATGCTAATGGTAGCCTAGTGCTGGCATGCAACTGTGGTCCTACCTACTAAAGAGGCAGAGACAAGAACACTGCTTTAGTCTGGGCTCCCAGGCAGTAATGAGATCTCATCTTGAAAACCAGTAGAGTGAGTTTGGAGTATTGTTTCCATGGGACACTGAAACAAGTGAGCTCTTGGTTTGGTTCAGTGGTTATAGTTGAAAGTTCTCCTTTCAGCTAAATCTAGTAAATATCTGGAGCCCTCAACCATCCCTCAAAACCCACTCTTCAGAACTTCAGCCTAAGACCCAAAGCAAACTAGCATTTCAGTGAAGAATACTCCTGTATTAAGAACATTTGTTGCTTTACCTGGAGCTTAGTCTGCCTTAAACTGCTCAGGTTACTTCTTGGTATTGCATTACAAACTACCAAGGTTTAGAAGCTTGAGCTTCACCGGTTGTAATTGTCTACTGCCTCCTGGTGGTTAAAAGGTGCATCATCCTTGAATCCTCCAGAAAGGAGGCTGTCAAAGGATGGGCATGCTAACCAATGCATGAAATCCCCAGAAAAA